TCTTAAAATACCTAAATTTGGTTAACGTGTCCTCTGACCAAGGACCTGTGAACGGTCGCTCACTTAGAGTTTGTATACTCTTGGAGGTCAAGCTTCCTATGTGCAAGGTGCCGTGTGACCCGTCACACTAAGCTACGGCAGCCCCGCTGCAATTAAAGTGTAATGTGAATTTTGTATGATGGTACGAAACCATACTTTCAGCATTGCAAAGAAGTGTTAGAGCTGTAGAGCACATACCCCCATTGCTTTCACGATAAGCGGTCGCTTTTAGTGAATGTCAAAACTCTCTTAGAAGCTGACGCGCCAGCAGAACGTAATTGGCTGGTCTGTATCCTAGAAAGTTCGTCCTATGGATCTACTTTTGTAGATCGTCTACCTTGCCATGGATGCGAAGGCAGGTGTGAACGCAAGGAATTCAAACTTTTGGACCATGTTCAATGATGAGGTATGGTGATAACTGCAAGGCACCCCCGTGTCGACTCACAATGGCAGGATGCAATCATGGGAAATGTACCAAATAAATAGCAGTAGGATTCTGCCCTTCTTCAATAGTAGCACCTTAGAAGCGTGCGTACCCTAATCATGTCATGTAATCTTGCATGCCAGCTACTGCTCTCTAGCCTACCCTCACCTCATGCCTCAGATTTACACACGAACAGTCTATAGCGCCTCTTCTACTGCTCTGCTTTGGGCATATCTCTCGTACATGTATGCATGCTAACGATTTGAGCCCCTTCAGGAAGATGAGATCTCTGCCGCGATTTTATCTGTGACATATGCTTCAGAATTTGCGCGAATGTGAGATGGCCACCATGCAAATGTTGATGACCCACACTGAGTAGTGGTTGCACACTTTTTGCCGACACACGCTACTGACGGCTCGATATGGCACAGTCTCATGGACTGCTTCTAATTTTCATGCTCCAGCTTATTGTGCAGCCAAAGAACCACCACAAGTATTACTACCATACCCTTTCTAAGGTGCAGCTGCATTTCTAAGATGCCGAGCTGTAGTGTAGCCTACACCTCACCAATACAGGTTACAGCTCATATAAGACCACTAACCAACTTCATGAATTAAGTTGAAGCTGTCCACCTTCTTTTCCAAAGCAGAGGCTCCGATTTTCGACCTCCGCGGCTAGTCCCTCCCAACTTCTATCTATTATTACGGTGCGTTAACTCCTTTCAAAAGTCTTACCGTGCGACCATTTCTGTGATGCTCCACGTTTTGGGTCAGTTCTCTGAACCTCGCTTTAAACGGAGCACCCTACGCAGCTCAAAATCTTATCGCTGCCTAATGTATATGATGACTTGTCTGCAGAGATAATTTGAAATGTTGCTTCATCTTTAACAGGACGCTCCACATCTTAACGGCTTGTGAGAACTTAGTTTAGTATGGCTTTGGCAAGCGTATTACACAAAATGTGCACGCATATTCTTCAAGATACTGTGAGTATGTTTATACTCTTTCTGGCTGCGACCATTAGTGGTCTGATTCAGCAAGGCGTAACTGAGGCTCATAGACTGCATGCACTACATGTGTAGGTAGATACGCATTATTTTATATTGCATCCCCACTTGCAAAAAATCACGTGCGTTCCGTCTATCTTCGGCATTCACATGTTAATTTTCATATTCTGACGCTCAGCGACAATGAAATGGAATAACCTTTCCATATACATGCGCTTTTTCAGAAAGAATAAAAAATCAGTTTGAACGCTTCAATGCGTGACGCTCGCTTTCGGCGAGCCGTCGATTTGCGCGGACGAGAAGGAAAAGGTGAAGTGACATTTATTATGGTCAATAGGCCAAGACCTTTCCGAAACTGATAAGTGCCTCTAATTCTGATAAAATAGAACTGTGGTAATTTACAACTATGCAAGATATATAGTTAATATTAACCACATAAAAGTTATGTTGTTCACACAACATTAGTCATAGGATTGACCCCATTAAGGAAAAAGTCGCACAATCAGCGCATAACAATCATGTCCGAGCAAAATTCCCAACTTTGCCACGAAGCGATAAAATTAAGTCACTATCATCGATAGTCCTTCCCAGACCATGACTAGCGCAAGATTGTAGCGATGTCAAGGCACTCAAGCGTTAATGATGCAATATACGCAGTTACACGTCCCCTTGTAAGAAAGGGTGGGTCGCACAAGATTGTGCGACCATACGTAGGTGCGTATTACACGGTTTGTGTAATTACACCGTAACAAGAAGCCACGACGTGGCAGGATTGCCAGTAGTAATGCATATCATTACATGAATTAGGTATTACTAAAATAGCTAGGAAAACCTAGGTGTTTAGATATTGGCGGCTCTGTCGCAACCAAAACAATTATAACAGTTTCAATTTTGGACAAAAGTGCTCGTTTGCCTTAGATAAGGTTTGTAGTACTTGGAGGTAGCGGATTGCTATCCACTGCGCTCGTACTGGTTCTTGAATATCGTAAGGTCGGTGACCTTAGCTTAGCTTAGCTTAGCTTAGCTTAGCTTCCTCTAAGCAAACTGCTACGGCAGCCCCGCTGCATAAAATGCCTATAGAGTCCCTCGCGGGATGGTCAGAATGCAAATTTGAACGAACAATCGGTATCCGCGCTTTATTATCGTTGCTGGTGAGCCTGTCCTAATTTCTGACCTGTGGCTAGCAGCGAACGTTTACCACGAATTTTTCTTTGTAGTTTCTTCATCTTCACAAAAATGAAACTTTTAAATGATAATTATTCACAATCGCACCAAGTGTGATGTGGATTTCGTACTATTGTTCCAAGTGTTAATGCTTACCACATTACAGAATAATCTTTGTCATCCTTCCTGCGCTGAGATATGAGCCACACGAATGATCACACTTATTCTGTCCTTTTAAGACAATGCGCAAAAATTACCACACGTTAGAAACCACTCTACCTGGTGCTTTTCTCCCTCTTAACATACTATATTCCTGCTCTCTTGAGCAAACTTGGACCGAACGTCCGCTTCCGTGTACCGCCTTACGAGCTTCCACAAAAATTGCAGTCGTTGCGATCGACGATATTTAAAAGATAAGTGATGAGGCTTCCGGGTGTCAACGAGACGGAAATTCTAACAGAGACCTTCGTTTTCAACAGCGGTCTAGCCGTTCTCTAAAAAGATTTTCTCTTTTCTCATCTTCCTCGCTGTACAACTTTCAGACTCCGTGCCTTTTTACATCAGGGAGAATTGTTTTGACCCTCCTCTGCCTTGTGGCTCATGACGATATTCAAGGATTGAAGCAGGATTTCAAAGTCCAGCATGCTAAATTGAAAGCACTGGAGTCCCGCCAACTTTTCCCTTATCCATGCCGTGATTAAAGTTGTTGAACGTCTGAACTCGATCATTGCGATGGTGCGAAGCTCCTACTCTCTTATACGTCTGAGATATCAGCACGTATCACAGCAAAAATGTGGCCGAAAAAATTGCTTCTCGAGAGGTTCTCAAACTACTGATTATTGGCACGAACGACGAGGTAGCAACTCATTACCTCGAGTGACTGCTGTTTGCAGGCTTGCTGGTCTCCATGGGTTAGCTGTATCAGCAGCCCGCCGACACTCTTTTTCACCGCCAGGTCATTTGCCGCTGTGACGGCCACCCTGACTCTTCTCCAAGAGAGATAACTTCAGATCTTGAGCTGTCAAATTACCATGGCAATCTTGTCGAAATGAAATGTCCAGTCCCTACAAATTTATAAACTGAGGGTGGCTCTTTTATTTCCTCAGGCATTGGTAACAGCCCTAATGTACTCGCCGGTCCACTTAACGTTTCACGAAAGCGAAGAGCAGAACAATGCTATAGAATATTGCAAGCAAAACCTGAATTTTCCTTTACCAAGTCTTGTGAGCTCCCGCGGTAGCGCGGCACGTCGACGGTCTCCGAAGGTCGCTGGCTGCGTCCGAAACTAAGATGAGCCAAATCCTGATTTTACATATGGGATCTGCGATCGCACTGCCTGGCTGAAGGCATCACCTTCGCTGTTGTGGGGCAAAAAATTGCTTAGCTACAAAGGTTGTAGGGATGTTGCAGCGGGACTGCCTTGGCACTTTGCTTAGAGATCGATAATCTAAGTCATCGACCTTACGTTCTATACTAGAACCAGTATGGGAGTAGCGGATCGCAATCTGCTCACACGAAGAGACCCCACAACCTCTTTCCAAGGCAGATAAACTCTTCCGTTCAAAATGTAAGCTGTATTGCTTTGTTTTATTTGCGGCGAGACCGCCTGCATCGAAATATTTAGGTTCTCCTAATTAACAGTAGGACCTAATCAAAATGCATAACTACTGGCAGTCCCGCCACGTAGTGTCAACTTGTTAAGGTGTAGCCACACCATTGTGTGATCACACAATCTTGTGTGACCCACCCTTTAATACCATGATACGTGTAATCCCGTTACAGATGTCACTTTGTAAACAATGGAGCTCTTCGCGCCCGACTGGGTTAAACGATCGGTATCGTGGTATAGCTTCAAACTGCATTTTAGAACACTAGCTGTGCTCGGATCATCTCCGAAGTATACTTAGTTATCTCCGCTACGAAAGAGAATACTCCGATGTAGCGCGGTTGTAATGATGGCTTTTAAAATATCAGAAAGTTCATGTGTTGGTTGTTTAAATTATCGTAAAATAAAACATTGACTGTCGATTTAGCTTTTTTGACGCTCACCCAAAGCGTCAAGCACCCTACACAAAACGCTCTGTCATATTGGAATAAAAGTGCTAATAACGCCACGAAGAGTATCAGGCAATTATCAACGTGTCAGATTAGAGCGAAAACTTTTGTCCCATAAAACTTTAGTGGGTTATCAAATTGGAATAAATTTTGAAACGGCATCTTCTGCTTTATTTCAACGCGAATTCAGTGTGTGGGAGCAACATTGCTCCAGCACCGCGGTCTCCCCGCGCAAGTGCCTCGAAAATACCCTCAAAAACGTGATTAACGCACTTCGACTAAAATCTGTTTTTGGATCGTTTGCGGTTGACATATCCAATCTGAGGACGAGCTCTGGAGCGAGGTCGAACAAATTCTCGTTTTCTAGCGCGGATAGCTATCGTATACAATGGCTATAGGCAAGCCATGTTGGCAAAATACTTTGTCAGCGAACACCATATCTGCATACCCAACGGTCACATTTTTGCTTGTAGGAGCAAGATGATCCATTATGCTAAGACAGTCTTGCAAGGAACATTACGGGTGGTATGAATTGCGCCTTTTAAAAAACTAGATATAAAACCACAACAATTGATTAACTGCGGTGATATTCCGGATTTGTCCGGCTGGCCATTGGTGCGGCAACATATTAACCCGTTGGCACATTTCACACGTGCATTCATCATATCCATTGTTACGTGATGGACTACGGAAACAGAGCACCTAACCACCAGTATGTCACTTTTCTTCCAGGGCGGTCACCGAATCATGTGCCACGTGCTGTATTCTGTACTAAATTTTCTCGCCGTGCGATTTACGTTGCGTGAAGCAGTACTGCAACACAGCAAGCCTAATGACAGGCTTGAAGGCGTGCAATTGCGCGCTTTGATCATGCAAAATCTGGTGTCTCGAAATTTGCTGCATAAAGATTTCAGACACGTTTGTTGAGACTGACCCGTACGCTGTATGTATCGCATCATCAATATGCAACAATGCATTATCTGTTCAGTTAACAACCGGCTAAGATGCAAATTGAGCTTGATAAGGTATAATCTATAGCAAGTCACTCCTTGTCATGAACAGGGTAGCGTTTCTTAGCAGCTATAAGGTTACTTAAACGGAATTACACACGATCAAGCACTTTTCATCTCGCTACTTTCATGTCTGTATGCATTTACCAAGCACAAGGGCAGCCAACTGGGAATGACCGATCTGAATTTGAAGTAGCAAAAATTGGGGCATACATGAAGGTCTCCTTTTTCGCATTTTTAGAATTCACCTCTTCTCCGGTACACCAATGCGCTTTGACTTGATTTTTAAAACACTGATGCGGGGTCGTGCCAAGTTCAACAAGTCTGCACTGTTTTGTGATCGAGAAATGCTACTTCTTCAAGTTCCTCTGAGACAGTGGCACTGGTCAATCTATGATGACCGTCATCGTTGCGGGATCTACCAATGTATTCCGCTTCCCAATGATACAACCCAAACTTGAATTCTTGCTGGTACCAAAGACACATTTGATGTCTATATTGGCGAGTTCTTATTCAAGGCCATACACTCAAGGAGTATTCGCAAGTATTAAATTTGCTTCTCCACATTCAAACTTTTGAGCTCTGCGCTACTATGGAGGGTTATATTGTCGTTTTGGCTTCGTATAGACAAGATACGGCTTGAACAGCTTTGACACCGATATACGGTAAAAGCCCCTTTGAACTATTGTTTCTCTGTCAGGACCATTGAAGACTAGATGTCGCGATATCTTCTTCTTAAGCCGGTTTGCAACTGTAGATCGCAAGTTGACGTCCAGGATTCATCCTCGACATAATTTGACGCTACTGCCATGTCTGTAATATCGTGTGACAGAGCCACCGTGCGGAGCATGGAGCGTCACAATTATGCTTCACCCATAAATACGTAATAATCTTAGAAGATTTGAGTTTCTAATTAGACTTTAGGTGCATATATCGAGCGAGAGGAAACATTTTAGGGGGCACGGGCATAAAGCTACAACACGGTGGGACTATCTGGATGGTATGATTGGAACAGGAGAAGAAGCTGAGCTCATAATCCATCACGGATGGATACGGAACTGGGGACACTCACAACGCACTGGGTGCGAAAAATGGGACAGATACACGAAAGATGCAAAAGATCATTTCCATGTTTCACTAACGAATTTGCACACTGTGTGACTAGAGATCCAATACGCGTGTTGCTCTAGAACTTGGGATTGAGCCATGAGATTAACTCAGTTCTGAAGCCAATACTGCGTCATGCAGCAATAATTCCTACTGGCTGAACAGTTTGACGGTATCTACCGAGCGGATCTCGAATCAGGTGGTGAGTTGTGGATGATTATAACTAGCAAATTGCAGCTGTGGTTCCAGCGCATTCACCAATGCCTTGAAAGTATGTTCTGCGGAACAGCATGATCGGCTACACTTTGTTCCTTGACCAGGGTGATAGATATTACCAACTGCTAATGATAGACAGATAGATCTCCCTCAGCGGGGTGCGATGTGAATGGCTATTATGCCGCAGGGTAAGTCTAATGCATAAGCGACGTCTCCCACGATAATACACTCGGGGAACACGAGTTGGTGTGTTTCGTCTAAGCAGAAAAACGCTCTAACGTCTACGATGCTCAGAAAAATTATGTCTTATCCTAAGACCGCAGCACAGTCTTCTGAACTTTTCCTGAGATGCCTGACAATACCATTGCAGTCAGCCTTGACGATCCCATGCCCGCCACATAGGATATCGGATCTTCGGCCAGCGCCGAACACGCTTCTGCTTCCAAGCAGACGTGGGCTTTAAGCTCGTCAAAGCTTCACTTGAAATGAGGTGAATGGTGCCTGATTTTTTCGACTTCCAGTCGACTCATGGCTCGTGACGTTCCAGTCGCGTCATGACTCGGATAAGATCGAATCTCAAAATCAGGTTCAGAACTAGACAAATTTTTACGTAGTCAAGGCCTGGATCTTTACTAAAAAGTCAAGTATAATCTTTAATGTGTTAACTATTTCTCCGTCGCTATATACACGAGCATCGTTTCCGTATTATGGATCTTTTATGACTTTGCATACTGTCCACAGTTTTAAACTGTCGCCCGTTGTACGTATTTGCACGCCGCTCCCAACTCTTTCAGGGCCGTTCTAAGCTTCATTATATTTGGCCTTGATATCAACTACGAACAACCCTGTCTTGTGAGTGTTGCCTCCCTTAGAAAGTATATCCCTTTTGAAGGTAAAGAATTGTCGACCGAGGTACAGATGAATCTAAGACTTTCCCAGTTGGGCAATCTTCTCCTAATGGACTCAGTGCTTCCCCATTGAGGTCACCCTTGCATTAGAACCCAATCCTCTGCTTTTTTAGCCTAGTGCAGAGAAACCACGCATGCGCAGATGCTTGTACGAGCGAAAATGATATACCGATTAGTAATACGGTGCTTCTCAGCGGCTAACCTCTCTATTTCTCCTAAACATGACTGAGGTTCATCGCTACTAACGCTCATATATTAAGTTCTAGAACCCTCTCCACCATTGCGTCACGGAAATCGTTCTCTACATCGAAGGGTACGCCCACCGTTTTGTCGAGAGAGGCAGAGTGAAGGCGCGAGGATTCGGTGCAAGCCCAACCCATTTGGAGACATTCATGAATATGGTAGCCGTAACAATCTCCGGAATAGGGTTTAGCGCTAACACCCTAATTTTTTTTTATGCTGTCTGTCACTTCTCGGCTCTTTTTCGAGTAACCAAAAACTCCGAACGAGCTCGATATGCCTGGTTAGGCTGTGGAATTCTAGCAAAATTTGACGCTGCTTTGATCACATGCTGGCGATGCCTCACTGGCACATCCTCAAAACTGAAGAGCGCTCAGGCAAACCATTGCCATTAATGACCCTTTGGCCGCAAGTTCTCTGATCCCGTCGAGACATAAGCATATTGAGCTGGCTTAGTTGTCCCGGGGCAGGGACTTGGACAATGTTGTTCTATCCTTGCAGAGGGTACAGTATTTCTTACGACTCGATCGTGAGATTGTCTACAAGTACTACTAGAGCAATGGGGTTATTGGCATTTTCGCGGAGATAGCTTTGACACTAAGAATTTGCGTAAACAAACACATCGAGGTAGGCTCAGTACCATCCTACTATAACCAAAACCTAGTAATTCGGTGTCTTGCTCTGCATGTTCCAAGAGCACATATATTAAGGATAAATGATACTTAGCCTGATACCAAATATATGCAGATCACTATCTCTTGTAGTTTAAGTGTCTCTTTTTTCTGACGTGCAGACAGTAAGTAGCCCATGACCCTTTTTTGAGTTCCATCATGTTCATAAGTACCGATCAAAGTGCAATGCGATTTTCATATTGTACCGCAATGTATAAAACTGTAGACAGGCTCATACTACTCCACCGAAAAATGGACTCTTAGAGTGAAAGCTTTTTGCACCTAAAGCGTAGAATCGGTCAGGGTACCAGCAACTAAATCAAAATATGTGATATACATCGCATTTGACCTTGCACGGATAGTATTCCAAAACAAAACCCACCTATTTTAAAATTATAGTCACCATTTAACGGTAAACTCGAAAAACAATAAATTGCGATAACCTTCGTGCTTAATTCTCTGATCAGTGATTGAGAAGGAAGCTAGTCCGTGTCCATGTGGCTTAGCAGGGTCGTAAGTAGATATTTCCTGAGCTGTGTCTTCAAGCTTAGAGCATTGTCATCAAAGATGAGTTTGGCACAATTTTTAGCTTTGTTTACAGCGTCAACTTCTTCTTTGCTGGATGAGAAAGCATCGAGAGGCTTGTACAGGAAAAACGTCCGACTTTCCGCAAACACTAGTATGGGAAAGGAAAGCATTTGGCTAAGTTTTTCTTATTATATATTTCTCTTGGTAATCCACGTGCTCACTGTTTTGGAACTTTGCCGAGACCTTTAACAATTGGATCCGTCGACACAATATCCAAAGAAAACCTATCATTCAGGGTCAATGAAACAAACAAAGTTGTGACTTCATTTAGATATGAGACCGATCATTAGAATCACCAATAATTTAGCGGTAGTTAGCCAGTAGTCGCCAATTAAAGAAAATATAATGACCAAGCGCAAGAGATTCAAAACTGCTGGATCTGGTACGATTTTAAAGTGTAAAGAGGAAACATTTTTCACTATTGAGCATGTGATTATACAATGGATGATCAGTAATTTCATCAGAAGTCCTCAGTTTATGATCTGCATATCGTTAAATTATCACATATATTAGAATTGGATTGGACAGAATATAAGCAGAAGAGGAGCAATATGATGTTCGCGCAAACGCGTGTCTCCATCATTGATGCTCTGACAGCGAAGACAAGTATGAAAAAAAACTCGGGTGTTTATTTCGTATAGCCATGGAGATCGTGCGTCACACTTACGGTGATCCGATTCGAACTTGGCCCTTAGCTTGTACTAAGTCACATAGTCACTATAAATGTGCACCTTGTCCACAATCTTGACAAAGACATTTATTGGCTCACAAAAGTTAAAATCCAATAGATCAAATGTGCGAGTAGTAAATCCGATCACATGTTATCAAAAAGTAACATCTGGCAAATACTGAATGTGCTTTCTCTAATGTCCTATTGGTCTGGGAATACCCCTAGGATCCAAATCAAGGACGCTAGAGATAGGTTATTAAAGTGGACGAGCAATTACACCCCTGTCGTGTGACCGCCCTGCCAACCCGCACATGTGATAGTTGGTTATGAGGAGGCCCCACTGACCGAAAAAGCCCCAGTGTAATGAGGAATACGGAACCCGGTCCCAAAATGGGTCGGATAGCTTCCAGCATTCCGCGCTAGAGAAAGATTAATCCTAGCGTGTAGGTTCCGGTAGCTGAAATCTCTTCTTAATGTTCTACATCTACCCCACCAGAGTCTCTGGCCACAACGTCACATATTCCTCGAATGTGTAACATGAGTCCCTGGTCGTGTCATCGTAAAGAATACTATACGCAGCTCCTGTAGCATTTAGGTGGCCCCTCGAGTCTTCGTAGCGATACCTATAACGCATCGACTTTAGTATGTATGATGAACAAATTGCAAAAACGTATAAGATGAGAAGGCTGGTAATCTTGTGCCAACCACCTTATGCCCTTAATTTCGCGCAGCTCGTTGATCCATCATTAGCTTCTTCTGGTATGCCATATATCTTTACCTCAAATAGATACGTGAAACAGTCAACCTTAAATATTTTTCAAGAAAAGTGCTGCGAGTAAGTAGCATTCATAATATACAGAAAATTGGGTCGCGACTCATCAAAAGATATGAACACCGTTCAACGTCGAAGTCTCTTCATTATTGTGTGGCTTTCACTTTCACCATGCGCCAGACCACAAGTAAGAACAATTAAACTTTTGTGACTTACACTTTAACGTCATGTACTATTTGTCTGGTTAGACTACAACTTCTACCGTTTTTTACCGACAGCGGAGTGGAGGCTCGATTTTTTCTATCGATGGACGAGATGGCACTCAGATGGAAATTGAAGGCTCAAGTAATTATGCGCGTTTTGTCGGGCTGGCACTTCATCGACGAAAGGATCGTATTGTATGGAGTGATGGCCGTTCGGTGAAGAGTGCGAGTGCAGTTGATGGGTCCGATGTGAAATTTTTAATTGGAGCACTTGCTCGAATTGTGTGGGTGGGGGCAAATTTTGGCCATACACAAGAAGACATCGAAGCGCTGACAGTGAAAGGCATTCAATGTGAAAGCATTCTCTCGTGGACATCCGAACGTGTTGAGTGCATGGTTGGACTTCCTCAATATTATACAAAAGCCCTTTTGAGTGAAACGGATTGCAGTATCCGGACAAAGTACGGAATTATGTCCGGAATTGCTGCGGATTTCACCGAGATCATTGCGTCGGGTACACTCGCGCCAGTTGTACAACACATTGACATTTTTGCAGATTTTGTTCTTCCACACGCTTTAGCAATTGATGATCGTGAAGGAGAAGAATGGCTTTACTGGTCGAATTCGAAAGACGGGACCATTTATCGCAGCAGTTTGCAATCAACTATTATTCAAGTATTGCAACGCCGTTGCTGGAGCGTGCGTGGATTAACGCTACATATCTTTCAAGACACAAAAAGTGACCGCGTATCTCTGTTGTATTCCCTTGAATCTAAAGGTACAATCTCTTATATTGAGTTACCTCCTACAAATAAGGTAATCAAATCACCACCTGCTGCACGGGTGCTCTTACGTGGTCTACATTCCCCTCGAGGTTTGGCTATAGACACCGCAAAACAAATTCTTTTTTTTACTGAAAAAACTGGTCGGATATTCCAGACAAACTTTGGCACATGCCTTACAACATCTGATGCTTACTTGAATGATTGTGTCGAGGAAAATTCTATGTTAAGAGCTCGTCAAATCATAGCACGAACGTCAAGAACAAGGCTCGATGGCATTGCTGTAGATTCTAAGTATGCTCGGGTTTCTCTTTGTGATGATATGAGTGTTAGCTAACACAAAAACTGCGTATGGCTACAGGTATTTATATTGGTGTGAATCCAACACGAACGTTGTTGTTCGAGCTCTGCGTCGTGACTATCAGCCCCAAACTATAATCGGTGGAACTGCAAATTCAAAATTGAGGTTTGCATTTTTGGCTAGTTGAATCCTTTACATTATGATATCATCGTCTGTTGCTTGTTCAATTTAATCTTAAGCTGGCCTCGAAGCATTGTTCTTGGCTCTGAAGATGGTGAGACGAACGAGCTTACCCAAAGCTACTTCTATTCCGAATACACAGGCCGAGTAAGCAAGGGCTTAGAGCAAATCATTCTTGTTAACGAGTTGAATGCACCAGCGATGGAGTATTTGGACGATATAGTGAAACAATCGACCACGCAACGAGATGGGAATCACTTTTACATGTATGCATTAGAATAGAGAGTTGAAATCTCTCCCACCCAAATGTCGAGTCACTTTGTTGCCCAGAATCAAGGAATATTAGCAATCATGTAAACGCTAATGTTCATGCTCTTACGATCAAGCTTTTTCGCATTCCAAACATCCTCAAAACTTTGATTTAGGCTTCATAATGGCTCCAAGATTCTATTGAATTTCGCCAGCTTCAAATGTAATGTTCGGATTTAATTTTACGTTAACGCTTGTATATCTCATCTTTGGTTTGATAATTGATTATCTTTTTTCTCCACGGATCACACTATTCATTGCTGGATGGGGTACTGTCTTTACTCGAGTAAATGTGTTATGGTATCTGTTTGAAGATATGCACTACCTTATTCGCCGATGAGCTGTCTACCCAAGATACTTTAGCAAAGAGAAATAAATAGTTTATCGATCCTCGAGATAGTCAAATATTAATTTACGAATGCAAAGCTCACTCATGGTTTATGAATCCATTGGTTTATCTTAATGGGGCGGTATAATAGTTAAGGTGATTGATTGTAGCAAGGCACTCCCAAAAAGAGTATCAAAAAGCTCATTGATGTACCCGTCCAAGGCGCATATATTTGGTCTTATAACAAGAAAAGAGAGATAATTACATTCTCACCCAGGTGAATTGCATTGTGGCTTGTGGCGTCTTTTGAAAGAAATATGATCGCAGCCAGATTAAGTTATTACGTCAGATATCAAATCTTCTTAACTGATTTGAAACCTCGACGTTGTTGACGCGTGAGCGGCTTTCTAACAAGATAAATCGATGTGTCGTGATTTGAGCATGTCTATGTGATGACAAGCGTGTAATATCGTCCATGCCGCAAAGCTGTCTTACATAAACGACAGCTTTGGTTGCTACAATGAGTTAACAGCAAGGCTACAATTCGAATGCTACAAAAACTACTTTAATTGTGAAGATTGATTCTTGTAGCTTCAAAACTTTATACGCAAATTGAAGTATTAACCTAATTTTAACCAACATGAGACGATGTTATTTACAAGGACAATATTCGCACTAATAATGCAATTCTATATTCGATACAAAACGAGATTTAGTATGAGTTGCATTGGCTACAATATCCTTATATTAGCGGTCCAATCTCTATTGCAGTTATTGATGCTGTCATAGCTTATCTTAAGCGCCACAGAACAATAATATTGCGTATAGGTACGATATTGCCCGACATAAATTGAGGTTATGTCTTCTTGCACCAAACTTCTCTATATCATATTTTGGGGTTTCTTTCTTGCGCTTCGAAGCGGTCCTTGACCTCTGGCCGCATGACTGACTTTACGCCATCTATGAGTGTTTGGTTCTTCTTCAACTCATTCTGCAGTGAGAGTTTTACGTCAGTCGATTGTAGATAAAAGCAATTTTTCTTTTTACTTACGCACCAAGTAGCAATGCGTGTAGATGGCGTACTCTTCTTGGCATCCCACTACTCCATGTGCTTTCTGCTGTAAAAACACTTTTGTGAACCACTTATCGAAGCACTTCTCGTACGCTGCTTTCTTTTCCCAACAACTGAGCTCGTTCTGAGTGTGCTTCTGATCCGCCATAATATATAGAAAATATAAGTGGCAGTCATTTCGAGCTCTCTAGTTTAAACAATGTATTTCAGAATTAAACCCTTCGATCGGACATAAAGTTCTGTACACGACTACAACTAGTGCTGGAACTGCACGTGCGTATGAAATGGCTCCTGCAGCTGCTCTCGCTGTATTTGGCCCGGCAATGACTGATAAGAGCTGGCAATAGACGGCGTTGTACCACCCGGTATCATCATGTGATGACCGCTTAAAAAACATTGATCGCAAACGCGCTGAGCCTCAGATAGCGCAAATTTAGGTAGAGCTACTCGATTTGTCGAATGCTGGCTGCACACACTTTGGCCACAATTTCGACAATGGTGACGACGCTTAACGAGCGAAAACGCGCACGCACATACGTGACACATGCTTGACTGTTTCCAACGAGGAGGAAAAGCTGTTTGGCTGCGAGGACCTGCGCCTCTTGAAGTCACACTGAGATTGCCACTTTTAATTTTAACATCTTCATTCATTGAAAAACCAGGCTTCAACGATATATCAGGCATAAAATGCGAAGGATCAAACATACCCAGTGGCATTGAGTCATCTGCTGTGGCGATTGAAATCAAATCATTCTCTCGCTCGCGAAGGCGCTGTTCTGTTAGCAGTGACTTGACGTGTGGGTCACTTCGTGATAGTGAGTTCTCCTGATTACGATCGTTACCGAGCTTTAAAGTCGCAAATAGACCTGCGTCTCCATAGTTTCCCTGAGGTGGGTTGTGATACGAATCATGGTCCAAATTTTTCCTTTCGAGTCGCTTCTTCTGTTGTAAATACGCTTGTGAGTGGTATTGTTGATGGTTTTGTTGATACTCAAGCTCGTCATCGTCAACTTCATCATCTGACTCTTCGTAGTATGTGTGATTTTGTTGTGGCTGGATCTCCAAACTATCGCGATTGCTAGGGTGCAAAATAGTGTGATTGTTGTACGACAGGTGGTAGTCAGTGGTCTCAGTAGCACCATCTTCATCGTCTCTATTTATAAGTTTATGTAGACCGCTGGACGCTTCCAATCGGTGATTGCCTCGTGCCGCAGCGCGCAGAACCTCAAGGATTCGCTCGCCACAATCAGCTTGTACGGCAAGATCAATCGGTAGATGGCCTGCATCATTGCGCATATGGACGGCGTAAGGGTTGGCAAAAACCACTTTCACTACAATGTCAGTAGGTGCATCTTGGTGCAGACATACCCAGTGGAGTACCGTCATACCACTGGCGTCTGTGCGCTGTGCAACCTCGCGATTCTCACGCATGACAGTCAGTAGCGAATCCCAGTCGCCATTAATTGCATGTAAGAAATCTCCATCCATAGTCTGAAAAGTACTTGAATGAGACGTGTGTAAGGCAGCAGAGTATGCGCCTTTGGTTAATAACGTCTGCAGAGCTCAGACCGCGCAGGTGGTGCTTTCTAAGAGCTAAGCGATTTGACGATAGACAAATGCGGCACTACAGTTTTGACCAATACGTAACGCGCGAATTGGGGTCGGACTGCTACTCATGCAACATAAGCGTTACATAGTGCAGGTCCAGTACACACTCTATTGTAAGCCGTTCTTATTAGAGTCCTTTTTTAAATCACAACGTTCTTTAATTGACGTCATATTTTGATGCGTTTTACTTTTTAGAAACATAAAAGAGAGATTTCAACTGCTAAAAGTCAAATTTTAGCTACAGTACTGGATGGGATACCATTGAGCATTTAACACTAAATTGAAGCAGTAAGATTCGATAAATGCGTGCATGGGTTTGTTTGAAGCTGTCTATGGACAGCGAGTCAAGAGAACGTTGTGGCCGGTATTATTGGTGAATAAGTCAGCCGGCCTACTATTAGACAGTCTATTACTCACCCACAAATACACGTACAGCGCAAATACTGTAAACTGCTCCGTTTTTACAGAGTAGAAAGAACTCATACTAGAAAGTCCAAACATATGAGAATCTGAAATGAAGAATAGAAAATATTGGTTTAAAGAGGGTGTGGTATCACAAAATTGTGTAGACCTAATTGAGAAATTTCTTTCAAGCATCCTCAACAATTAAGTAGAGCAGACTTCCACTGTGAATTTCATTTTTGCACATTTACATTAGAAAGATAGAAGAAATCAAAGATATCAACAGACGAAATCAGAACAAGCTAATCCAGACATGTATACCACGACTGACAACAAAGCGCCAGTACCAATAGCCGAGATCTAACACCATAGCCAACAGTATGTAGTGCCAGCTGTATCAGCAATGATTGTAGTGGTATATATGGTTCCTGTGTTTCTGATACTCGTTCCTATCCACTTGACTGCAATATGAAATTGAATAGTGTGTTGCACGGAGAGGAAGAGGCTATTCATTTCTGTCCTAGGGTAATCAGGCAGCTTCTTCTCAGGAACATCAACCACTATTAGCAAAAACTGCTACACTGCCGAATTGCTGGTGCATCTCAATTTCCTGGTAATCATTCCATAAGAATTATCATTTTTATTGTGAATACTGATCATTCAAAGGGCGACATTATTAACCAATCGGAGGTTTACAGCCGCGCCAAATTAAGTCAGATAATGTATTTTATGCCTAGAGCAAAATTGTAGGTTATGTGTAACGGGATTACACGTACCCTGGTAACAGGGTGTGTGTATCACACGAAATGTGCATGGTGC